TTACTGTTAGTAACAGAAAACAACCCTTACAAATGTGTAGATTCTCTTCAGTCATTCTCTGTTTTTGTTTGAAAGCATTTATACCTAAATATATGTATTTTCTGTCTGATGAATGAGTGTGCTTTTACCTCCTTGTGTCCATATTCACTTACTACTTTGAGGTTAAACATATGAATTTAGTATTCTAGCCAGATGTGGTGCACGTAATCTCAGCTACTTGAGGTAGGAGGACTGCAAATTTGGGCCAGCCTAGGCAACCTAGAAAGACTGCTTCAAAGCAAAAATTGAAGAGGACTGGTTATGTAGTTCAATAGTAAATCACTTGCCTACCATATAAGGCCTTGGGTTCAATACTGTACACAAAAAAGAAATTAGTATCCAAAAAGTATTTACTACTGTCACTATATTTTGGGGACATATGCATGAATTATTCCTGACATTAGGCTAGTGATTGTGACAAATTTTATTTATATTGACATTTGGGTAGGTTTGGGATAGTGAAGGGAATATTTTTCTCTACCCTTCCACATCATTTTAGTTCATATCAAGTGAGCAGGATTTTGATTATTTCCTCTGTGGCAGTTGTTCCTCCGAATCCTTCTAGGTCACACTAATTATTTGTGGAAAAATGAACTAGTGCTCCTGAATTCTGTTTAGTATTTTTTGGGGGCGTTGAGAGGCACATTCTTATTTTTATTATAAGCCACAATTGTATGAGGAGGTAGATACCAGCAAGCAGGTTGTCTATTACAGGCACTCCAGATCACTAACTTCTGCACTGTAAAGTAACCCAGTAAGAATTGTGTAGCTTAATCTGTGACCTGCACAGCTCTAAGAGTTCAGGGGGACATGGAGGTGCGGTGAGAGGATGGAGAAATAGAGACAGAAAGCTGAGGTCAGGTGGAGCCCTTTCTGGGTGAGAGGAAGGAATGGCCCAAGCACTGCAGTGCATTTATTTATCCATTTGGCAGGTGGGTGTCATGTGGTACCCTTTTTGCGTAGCAACCCATTGCTTGGGTTGTCTTGGGCCTTGCTGTTTTCTGGACTGAAGCATCTTGTTCATGTGGCTTGCCTTGCCTTGCCTCTGCATATATGATCAGTTTTCAGCTTCCGCTGCTCCCTGTAGTATTGCATTTTTAGAAACAGGTAACTGCACCTGAAAAATGCTCTAGCTTTGGTGGCCCTAGTTTGATAAACTTCAGGAGTAGACTTTTGGGGTATGGAAGAAAACATCTGACTAGTGTGTTTTACTTAGGTTCTAAAATTAAACTGCAAGGACAAGAATAAAGGTGGCATTGGGAATATGAAGTTTCTGACAGATTTTTCTTAAAAGCTTGAGTTGTGTAACTCATTTTAACATTTAAAAAGCTCTAGTTGTAACAGACAAGTAAATTCTGGGTGGCAGAACATTCTAGGCTATTTATAATTAAATGTGGTTCATCAGCATCTTCTTCAACAAGCTTGTGGTACAGATATTTGAAGATTTTTATATTTTGGAGGGTTAGTCAAAAGTTACTGAGAGGGGCCGGGGAGATGGCTCAAATAGAATAAGCGCTTGCCTGGCAAATGCCAGGGTCTGAGTTCAATCCTCAGTTCCAAAAAAAAAAAAGGAGAGAGAAAGAAAAAGAAAAAGTCACTGAGGGTTAGATACTGCTAAATTTTGCCAGGTCAAATAAAACAGTTCCTTGTACATAATAGTTACTGTCCAGGGATGCATTGATATTTTCTGTTCACTTTTGAGTATTCGTATTGTGTATCACATTTAGGTACTTTTTTTAAATTTTAGGACAAGGTCTACAGGATCTCACTATATAAATCGGACTCGTAGTGATCTACCTGTGTTCAGTCTCCCAAGTGCTAGGATTACAGGTGCACACCACCACACTGAATCTCAGTCGCCTTCTCAGTGCACCCCAGGGGCAGGGCCAGCATAGCATGGTGGGGATCGAACCCTGGCTGCTGCATTTGCCTAAGCATTCACTTTAATCTGCTGAGCTATTTGGTTTTCTTTTTTTTCCTATGAATTTAGGACAGGGTCTACAGGGTGTACAGGGTCTCACTACATAGATCAGACTCTGTTTTTAGCCTCCCAAGCACTGGGATTACAGGTACGTGCCACTTGCTGCTTCAGTGCACCCTAGGGATGGGGCCGGCATGGCACCCTGGGGATCGAGCACTGGCCGCTGAGGTACGGGTTTTCATCCTGATTATTCTATGGTGTCTGGAGTCATAGAATAGTACTTTTTTCTAGATATTAAATGTATAGTCAGGGCTGGAGAGATGGCTCAGTGGTCTAAAGCACCTACTTAGAACAAGCTTAGCAAAAGCATGAGGGACCGCGGTTCAATCCCCCAGCACCACATGCCAGCCAGCCCGCCCCCTGGTGGGCTGAGCTGGCCTCTCTCTCTCTCTCTCTCTCTCTCTCTCTCTCTCTCTCTCTCTCTCTCAAATAAATAAATAAATAAAATTAAAAAAAAAAAAACAACAAAAAAAAATGTATAGTCATTAGTTAATATCTGAAGGGGTTTTTTTGTGGGAGTTTTTTGGTACTGGGGATTGAACTCAGGACCCTGCGCTTGCCAGGCAAGTGCTTATTTTACTGAGCTATCTCCCCAGCCCTGAAGGTTTTTTAAAAATTTTATTTTTAATGTATTTGGTACAGGGTTTCACTATGCAGCTTGACTCAGTGATTCTCCTGTCTCAGCCTCCCCAGTGCTTGGATCACAGGTGTGGGCCACACCTAATCTTAGTAGCTTGCACAGTGTGCCCAGGGATGGGGCTGGTGAGGCATGTGAGTGCCGGGGATCAAACCCTGGTCCCTGTGCTTGCCTAAGCAGGCACATAGTTGCTGAGCTATCTCACTGGCCCAGTTTGTTGTTGGTTTTTTTTTTTTTTTAATGTGTTTTATTTTATTTTATTTTATTTTTGAGACAGGGTTTTGCTATCTCTCACTTTTCTTGGAGAGTCTCGCCATCAGGCTGGCCTTGAACTCAACTATGTAGCCTAAACTGGCCTTGAACTTGTGGCAGCCCTCCTGGATCAGCCTTCTAAGTGCTGGGATTACATGAGTGTGCCCCCACCTCTGGCAGGAGATGGGTTTTTTATTATTATTATTATTTATTTATTTATTTAGTGTGTGTGTGGCCAGCTCAGCCCACCAGGGGGCAGGGCTGGCTGGCATGTGGTGCTGGGGGATTGAACTGCGGTCCCTGTGCTTTGCTTAGCTTAGCTTGTTCTAAGTAGGTGCTTTAGACCACTGAGCTATCTCACCAGCCCCAGGAGATGGGTTCTGAGACACAGCCCCTTACACACACATGCATGCATGCATGCATGCACGCACACACACAGGCTATGCTCAAGACCCTTTTATAATAAGTCAGTAATTGGGGGCCTACTGGTTAGATCAGTTGTTTAAGCGCCTGCTTATGCAAACACAATCAGGCCCAGGATACCTCTGTTCGATCCCCAGCTCCTCATGCCTTACCAGACCCACCCTGAAGGCAGCCTGAGCCAGCCAAAAAAACAATCCTTCTTAATAACTCAGCAGCAAAACTTTTCTTCTTCAAAACTTTTAATAACTGCATATGTGCCTCCCGTGTGAAAGACACCATTTGAGATACTAGAGATGCTTCAGTAAACACTTAACTGTTAGAGGGATAGAGAATTTAATTAATTTCCTTTATTAAATATAGCTTCCTCCTTTCCGCCTGAAATTTGAACTTGTCCTTTTTGCTCCTAAAACATGTTATTGGTCCGGGGCTGTAGCTCAGGGGCCTTAGCACCTGCCTGGCAAGTGCAAGGTCCTGAATCTGATTCCTGCATGTGTGTGTTATTGATACAGAAATTTTAAATTCTAGGTTCTTATGAAAGTTATACTGTGCTTGCTAAATCTTGTAGAATGCCAGAGTTGTTTGTTTTTGTTTTTTACATACATAAAATGAATGTATTAATAGAATCTGCAGTATGCTTTTCTTAGAAATACATTATCTGAATATGAAATCTAACTATAAAAATGTAAATAGCCCAAAACACCTAGTGTTTTATTTTCATGTGATGCTAGTCCTGATGCCATTTGGTTTTTCCATTTTGGAAAATGAGTTTAAGTAAATGAGCTGCTCGCAACATAAAGCCTACTTTAGAATTGAGATTGTTTTTTTTTTTTTTTTTTTTTTTTAATGTATTTGGTTATAAGGTTTCTCCATGAAGCTTGGACATGGTAATTCTCCTGCTTTCAGCCTCCCCAGCACTGGGATTATAGGCGTGCTCCACCACACTGGTCCGGCTCAGCCTGCCCTGGGGACGGGGCTATCGAGGCATGTGGTGCCTGGATTGAACCACAGTTCCATGCTTTGCCTAAGCAGGTGCTTTAGTCTGCTGAGCTATCTTGCTGGCCCTAGAATTGAGTTTTAATTCTGTTCATTTTCTAATTTTCTTCCCCCAGTACTGGAGCTGGAGCCCAGGGCCTTTGTATGGAACTATATCCCCAGTCCTTTTGTGTTTCTTTATTTTGAGATCGGTTCTCAATAATTTGCTAAATTCCTGTCTCACTATCCCAGAGTGCTGGGACTACAGGTATGTGCTGTCATGACCAGTTCATTAGAATCAACAATAAAACATTTGCTGGATGAACCTGTCCATATAGCCCAGATGCAGCTTGAATGACCATGTGCACCCAGACCTCTTTTAGACATCAGGCTCCAGCGTGAACTGCCAGGTCTGCTGCCCACTGTTATGGCCTTTCCTCTTAGTGAGGGGATGTAGGCACCAAGAAGCAGTTAGCTGCTGGGAAAAGCCATGAACGCTAGAGCTAGTACTCTGAAAGAAATAAAAGGAGATTGTGTTGGAAACAGAGTAGGCGGTTACTTGGGGTAGTTTGGGGTACTTGGGGTAGTACTACAAGTTTAAGATAGTGTCATTGCAGAGTGATTTTTTTTTTGTATGTTTTTAAATAAATGTAGTAAGTACTTTGATACTAACCTATTTTTACTCTTTTCTTCCAGTTTGTGAAGTGTGGCTATGCAGGCTCTAACTTTCCAGAACACATCTTCCCAGCTTTGGTTGGCAGACCTATTATCAGATCAACCACCAAAGTGGGAAATATTGAAATCAAGGTAATATTTTATTTATTGTTAAAATGACTGTTAAGACATGTGAAATGTTCTTTGAATTAGTTTTAAAATATGATGCCTTGAAAAGCAAAAGCGGAGGGTAGAATTTCTCCTTTTTAAATCATATCAACCCCTAAGCAAGGGTGAAAAACTAAAGTCAGTATCATCTAATTTTATTTATGTATTTGTTAATGCCTTTACTACCTGGAATATAACTTTATTTTTATATTGAATTGATGCAAAACACTGAATTAGAACTTAAAGCCCCATTACATATTTTAATGTGTAGAAGAAATTAGTCTGGTAATTTTATGTCTCTCACTTTGATACATTTGTCATTATATCTTAGTGTCACTTCAGGACCTGAGATGTTTTTTCTCTGTTTTCATGGCCTGACCCACTACTTTTTTACATAGCTAGTCAGGAAAGCACAGACTGTAAATCTCATTAGTTCCTCTGTTCACTAATATAATAACTGATTTCCGTAATATACTGAAGCAAACTGTGCAGATCTTTATTTGGTACTGTGTTTGTCTTAGAGAGCAGGGAAGGTTATCATTTCCTGCTTGCTGTATTTAGCATGAAGACACTGCATTATGAATGATAGACTTTTCTCCCACTGAAGTAGAAATGAATTAGGAGTTAAGTTATTTTAGAAGAAAGAAATAGAACACTCAGGACAGTGGTCACCAGATTGAGTTAAAATTCTTCAGGTGACCTGGAGATCAAATTATACAAAACACAGTAGGATGTAGGGGGCACTAAGTGAATTCTTTGTGAACATGCTAGCATTCTTGATTCTATCTAGAGTCTTTGACAAGACTTCAGTGAATTGTGAGATTATGAGTTATTTGTATTGTACCTCTTTGGGGCATTCACTTGAGGTACGAGGAAAGTAGTAATAGGTGGTAGAGAGTTACTCTTAGGTCTCTGCTGTTGGGACTAGGGAATTGAGTTGCACAATAAATAAAAACAGAAACTGCAACTCATGTTCTTAATGTTAATTTTTTAAAGGTTGGGAGTTGTCAGTTCTGGCTTCTTTAAGGTATAAAAGCAAAAATGGTACACTCAAATCTAAGGCTTTTCAAAATGAACGATCTTTCAGAACATTTGTGGGATTTATATGCTATTTTTGTGAACATCTTCCATTCTGATTGAATTCTTAAACTAATTTCAACTAGAAACTTAGCTAAAAATAGTGATAAAGGCAAACTACAGTTAGGGAGTAATAGTTTTTACTTAGTGTCTGGCTTTTTTTCTATATTTTTATGGACAAAATTTTTTTTGAAGTATAAAGGTATATCATGCAGAGCCATTTTTATTCTCCAACATGGGCATAAA